TGGTCGAGAAACTGGCCAATCGAAAGTTCTAATTCAGGTTCAGAAAGAAGATACTAAGAATGTTTTGGCAACATGTAAAATGTGATGCTGCCAAAAAGGGTGCTTCTAAACACAGCAAAACATGCTATTAGCAATAAGTATCCCGATCCACGAGAAATATCAGAAACTAACATAAGTGAATTCTGCTTGGCGAGTACTTAGGCCAAAGCTTTCACCTACCCTTTATCCAACATCCAATCCGTGGAGGAAGTTAAAAGAGACTAGTAACCAACGTCATTTCAAATTGTTCCAGTTTTCATGAAATGACAATCATTTCAAGCTCCTTAATTATTTGAGATGCCCTACATATTTATGTCAATTTAAAAAGATTCGGCAGGCAGATGGAGCCTTCACCAACACTTTGTTTGGTTCAAGTAAACAATTTCTAATTATATCATGTAAAAGTAATGTACTTCTAACATCTCCACTCCATACTACATGCATACTCAATATGTTAAAGGTTTTATACTGAGATTCCCAAAAAAGGCTAAAAAAATATAACACTTAAAGATCATGGTATTAAAACAAAACTGGAAAACAATAAGATATCATCTCACCTCAAGAATCGGAAGGGAATTCAGCGTAGGAATTGCAATTTCTTTGCCCTCACAATACCTTGGTGTAACGTTGACATGGTAAGGCTATCTGGCGGTATTCCTTTGGCTGACATATTATCTACAAGAGTTATAGCCTTGTCCACAAATCCCTGCTTGCAATAGCCACATAGAAGGGCTGTGTACGTCACAGTATCAGGTGCTAAACCTCTATCAATCATTTCATCAAAGATGCCAATGGCATCTTGAAGGTTATCTGATTTGCAGTGACTGTCAATTAAAACTGTGTAGCTAATGACATCAGGTGTTAATCCCATTTCCTCCATTTCACGCCAAATGGCTGAAGCCATCTGCTTCACTTCCTTGTTATTTCTTGCATCTGTTCGACATCGGGCCATTTTCCGATTTCCTTTAGAAAAGCCATCAAGTAATACTGTAAAAGTAATAACGTCCGGACTAATACCCCTCTCCTTCATATCATTAAAGAGATTTCGGGCATCGTGCAGGCAATTCATCCTACAATAACCATTCAATAATATGGTGTAGGTAATTACATCTGGAGATACTCCTCTCAAAACCATATCGTTAAATGTCAATCGGGCATTTTTCACATCACCAGCACAACAAAGAGCAGCAATAAGCCCATCATACATTTTCTTACAAGGACCGTCATTTAAGGACAGCACCATCTCAAATAGTTTGACAGCTTTGTCATATTCACCTTCCAAGCAGAGGCTGTTAAGGAGTTTCAAACGAGAAGCCTTTTTCACACAGCGCCCTTCCTTGAATAACTTAAGGAAAAGTTTATATGCCTTTGTTGAATTGTCAGATTCACAGTACCCGTTAATCATGGCAGAATAGTTTTCTATATTCTTATTTTCCAATCTATTGAAATACATTTCAGCTTCCTCCACCTTTCTGCCCAAACATAAGCCTTCAATTATCAAGTTGTGCGTTGCGGTGCCTGGAACCAAACCTAGTCCTTTCATATCATCCAGAAGAAGAAATGCATATTCTGCAAGACCACTCCTAGAGAACCCCCCAACAAGTACGTTATAAGTAATAAGATCAGGCTTGGGACCCTTTTCCGTAATTTCTTCAAATAAACTTAAAGCATCAGACATTTTTCCTTGGAGACAATAGCCATTAATCAAAGTGGTGTAGTGCTTAATATCTGGAACCATCTTTTCAGCCTTCATCTCATCAAGCAACTGTACAGCCTCATTTAAATTTCCAATTTTGCACAAGGCATCAATCACCACATTATATGCAATTTCATCAAGAAACACACCCAATTTTTTAAAGTGCTTGAACTCGTCTACTGCCTTGGGTGCCTTGTCATTTTGGCACAAGCTCTGAAGGATTAAGGTGACAATCACACAATCAGTTTTTACACCCTTCATTGCCATCGCATTGTGGTAAGCCTGAGCTTTGCCTGTATTCCCAGACTCACAATATCCTTGAATTAAGGCACGATAACAATCTTTATCAGGAACTAGTCCTTCCTCTTCCATGTCAACTAAAATAAAATCTGCCTCTTTCAGCTTCTTTTCCTTAACAAACCCATGAATCACAACTCTATAGCAATGCACGTCGATTGGTACATTTTTAGCTTTCAGATCTCGTAAAACTTCATAACCTATATCTGACCAACCATGCTCACAAAGTCCTTCAAGATACGGAGTGTATGTCATAACATCTGGTGTCACCCCAGCTTCCCCCATTTCCCTAAACACACGATCAGCTTCTTCAAAACAACCCTTACTACAATACGCCTTGATCACAATCCCATAGGTATATACATTTGGGTTCGGGCCACACTTCTTCAACTCATTATAAATTGCAACAGCTGTGTCCACTTTCCTGTGTTCAACCAATCTATTAATCAAAAAGTTACAAGACCACAAATGCGGACCAACTCCACACCTTTTTGTCTCGAACAATACTTCAATGGCCTCATCAAACATGTCTAAACTAACATATACCTTAATCAAAGCATCAATAGCCCGACCTAATGAACTGTGTTGCTCGAACTTGATCCCCTTGACTATCGCCTCCAACAAGTCCAACACTTGAAAACCGAAATGCTCCTTTTCCGACTTTATAACCTCTGATAAAACACAAAACAACTTCATATTCATGCGCCAATAACAAAGTATCTTAATAATTTCCATGTACGTCCGAACGTTGTGTAGGAATCCACGTTCCTTCAATTGGTAAAAGAAAGAAAATGCAAAATAAGGTTCTTTTTTCAAATTCTTTAGAATCTCAATGACCCCATTTGAACTCAACTGTACAAAATTATTATTGCTATTTCTCTTTTCTACACAAACAATATTTTTCTCTGTACCTGAATCTGAGTCATCTGAAAACGAGTCAGCATAGTATGGATTGAAATGGGCAAGAGATGGAACGGATTGAAATCGAATAAATTTGAGGTTCTTGAAGAGAAGCTTGACAGAAACTTGTCTGATTGCAGAAACCCTCATGGATCTTTCAGAGAAATTTTTGAAAGCGTTTTGGTTTCCCGCCCCTATAACTTCAACAATAGAACGGAAATTCCAGTGGAAGTGAAAGCCGCGCCAAACGCTAGGTGGAGCGAGCAGTGGTT